ATAATTGTAAAAATCTTCTTTAAGTTTATTATTTATATTTTATTTATATTATTTATATGTATTTACTTATTTGGTGAATGTTCTCAAGGTATTCCAAAGCGTGCCTCTATAGAACCAAGTCAAATGGTTCCAATCTAATTAACGAAATCATTAAATTACCTAATTACTTCTATCCCATACTATGAGACACTGTTAATTTGACATTAAATGAATGAAAATGTTTTTTATGAGAGCACTATGCCTAAAACTTATTGAACATAAATATTCATGAGCTATGGTTCTTTGTTTATTTGCAAGATCAAGTTAGAACTCTGGGTTGGAGGAGATGCAGTGGTGGCCTCAGTGGGGGGGGGGCTGTAGTCCCCCGTCGGGGAAGCATAGCCGCCCCCCCCCCCACCCCGTCGGAAACCGATAAATTTTGTCGGGAAACAAACAAATTAAAAAAAAATATTTACATGTAATATTCGTTTAGCCACCATATTGTTTGTGTTCACTTTCAAGAATGAGGATTTAAAAATAAATTAGATGTTTACATTGCATACTCTTTGTTTCTTGTTTTATTCAAAATGTTTGGTTTTGGAAGCTGATTTCAACATTAGAAAGCATAGCCTACATGAAGTCATAATATTATAGTAACTCGATGCCTATCAAATAAGTAATAAAAATTCGCCCTAATTCATCAAATATCCGTGGCTTATAGTTGGCTTCCCTCCCTGCACCCCACCGGGGGCCTAGGCGGCCCCCTAGCCCCAGCTAAGTGAGACTCGATTCGTCGGGGCCTTTATGCCCCTCCGCAGGCAGGTCCTGGCGCCATCACTGAGGAGATGGTTTCCTCACCCCGATTTTTTTTTTTTTGTGAGGAATTTGTCGAGTTGCCAACTCTGTACTTGCAGCTACTCGTCGTAAAACCGCTGAATTCGTAGCAGTAATTTTGAACATGATAAAAAATTGACCACAAGTTCAATTCAATCACGATTTTTTTTTTACATTTGAATGAATACTGCAAAATTAAAAATAAATATAAGAAAACTGCTTTATGGTCAATTTTGGAATGTCGTGTGTAACTCGTATATAACTCAGGAAACTCCAAATACCTTGGTGCCTGAAACTCGTCGGCGTGCTGTTCATACAAGGATTTTATTAAATAAATAAAAAATAAATAATAAAGATACACCTATTTAAAAAATCGTAATTTTTATGGAACTAAAGCATAAGCGAGTCTGTCCTGCATGGAAGCTCATTATAGCAAAATCGACAATATGATGACGGCGACAGCTAGGCAAGAAGAAGGAGACTTATAACTGTACCAGGATAAGAAGCTCGCTGATCTCGCACTGCACGCATGAACTAACTGACTATACTAGTTGGTGCATTTTGTTGTCTTTAGGCAAGTTCTGCACATGCTCAGAAGTATTGAGAAAAGCATGAATTGATAAATCCTCTCTCCTGTGTTAAACCAAGGTAGGTCTTAAAATAATAAAATATTAGCATTTGTGAACAATATATTTTCATTCTTATATAAGAATTAAATATGAGGCTTGCCATGCGAAACCCAGCGTTTTGTCGCTCACATGGGCGGCGGAAGCGGGGGGGGGGGGCGAAAAATATATAATGTCTGGAGAATTTTGTATGATCGGAAATGCAAAAAAAGGAGGCAAGAAGGAGAAGGATGGGAAAGAGAATGTTTATCCAGTACCCGACCGAGTTACATTTTCTCGCAATTCACATTGGTAGATCTGGGGGAGGGGATCATGGGTCCTGACCCCTCCCTTGTGTAACAAAAAAAGGGGGAAAAGAAAAGGATTCTAGACCTACCTTTTCAGGACCCGTGAGCTGATTTTTTTTTTTTTTTGTTGCTCTTAGAACTGATTTTTTTTTTTTTTTTCCGTATTAGAAAATTAGAATTTTGAAGAACATAAAATTCATTAAAACACACTTCAAATGTCGGGAAAGCTCAATTTCCTCCATCTAGGAATTAAAATTTTCCAGGGGGAGAACCCCCGGACCACCCTTTATTTTTGGGATTTACAGTGGCGTAACAGGCGGGGCAGGGGGCAGACTGTTCCCCCCCCCCCCCATTGACGGTTTTTACCGGGCTTACCAAGCTGTCGTACCGGGCTGGGTAAGAAGAAAAGAAAGAGGGGAGGGGGAGGGAAAGAGAAAGAAGGGGAAAGAAAGAGAAAGGAAAAAGGAAAAGAGAAGAGAAAAATAAAGACAAGAATAAAAAGGAAGGTATAATGAACAGATATCACAATACCCCTGCCTGCAACCCATTCTCCACTTCAAAAAGTGTCCATAGCGCATTTGATCTAAGCCGGCAGGTATTCTCCGCAGTGGCGTAATCACCGGGTGACAAGGGGAAAATATCAATCTGTTGAAAGTTTTTCCCCATTGAATGCCCTTTTCACCCGGGAAAGTGCCTGAAAATCTCAAATTTTAAAATTGCACATTTTAGAGAGTTTTGATCAATTCAGACGAAAATAGAATTTAAGAAACAAAAATTTTTCGCGCGCATTTTTTTTTATGTTAAAGCTTGTGCTTGCTCCCCTTTGCCTTCTAAGTTATAACACGTAGTCCCAAACTCAAGAAAGAAAATTTAAGATAGATCGTTTTACCTATTAAAGAAGGGCCTCAATGTGTAATGATGTTGAAAGAATATGTTTGTAATAAATAAAGCCATGAGGAAAATGCTTATATTCAGTTTAAAAAAACGAGTGTGGCCATTATAACATAAGAGTATTTCTTGTTGAGGTAGGCCAATTTCCTCTAAAAATTGCACATTTTAGGGAGTTTTGATCAATTCCGACGAAATTAGAATTAAAAAAACAAACATTTTGCACGCGCTTCTCGCGTACTTTTTAATGTTAAAGCTTGTGCTTGCTCTCCTTTGCCTTCTAGGTTATAACACATAGTCCCAAACTCAAGAAAGAAAATTTAAGATAGGCCTAGATCGTTTTACCTAAAAGAAGGGCCTCAATGTGTAATGATGTTGAAAGAATATGTTTGTAATAAATAAAGCCATAAGGAAAATGCTTATATTCAGTTTAAAAAAACGAGTGTGGCCATATATAACATAAGAGCATTTCTTGTTCAGGTAGGCCAATTTCCTCTAAAAATTGCACATTTTAGGAAGTTTTGATCAATTTAC